GGTGGGTGTTTGGGATCCTTGGTGGTTAGCTGGGAAGCGAAAGAATCCTTTACACTTAGCTTCCCTCGGCGGCGAACCAACACCTCTTCACTAATGGAGCTCACGAACCACGGTACTTTTCGGGGAAACGACGTCACTTCCACGCGACGATGCTGGGAATTATCCCTCCAGCGGACACACGCCACGAAAAAGGCACTCCAACTTCTCGTTTTCACTTAAAACGGACGGGCAAAAAAACGCGTCGATTTCCAACCGTGGCTCGTAACTTTCTTTCTTTTCCGTACTAGCTGACAATCACCGACATAACAATAATTGCCATCGTTCTCCTGCAACTGCGCTCGAATGTTGTGCTGCTTATGTTTTTCGCATTCTTTTGCAGCGGGAGGAGAAACGGGACCTAATTTTATTCTAAACGCGAGACAATTTAAATCGATAATTTTTACACTACATTCTAATCCTAAAAACACGAACAAAATCTACTAAGATAACATCAAATTAAAATATTTACAAATAAAGCAGTGGTGAGTATGTTGCCGAGCGTGCGACCAAAACAAAAACAAATCATAACAAACAAGGCACACGCTCGTGGCAAACACGTTAAAAGGGTGGGTTATTAATTGTCACCCTAGACGAGGGTTACAACCTTCCTTCCAGCTGTACCGCTGCTTTGAACCTCAAGCACAGCCAGACTTGTTACTGGCCTCTGAAGCACTCTGCTACCGGTTTGGACGTCAGCGATACGGATTCTGCCATCCTTTCCGCGAACCCAGCTGTTCCGTATTCCACCATCCGCCAACATCACCAAATCCCCATTGTTTGATTTGGTTAGAGACGTCGAACCACTTGGTGCGTGTTCTGATGGTCGGGAGGTATGTCCTAATCCATCTGGCCCAGAAGATGTCTAGTAGGCTCAGCGCGTGTCCTCAGTTTGTTTCGAGAGCAGCGCCAGTATCAACGGGGGACTTGGCTGGCTGCACAACACCGCGGGAGCTCAACGTTAAAAAATTATTGCGTGTGAGCGCTTCTTTTTTTTTTCATTGATCTATTTTCCCTCGATCTTGTCTTCCGTACTGAGTACCAATGCTACCGACGCCAGGGAGGCAGCTCCCACACCTAACGATCCATCAACTCATAGACCGGGGACCAACGGCTTTACGTACCTTCCTAAGGCGTGATCAGAGATGTTATGCCCCCGAAAATCCCGGTAGCGCCGACTGGGATTGAATCGGGTGTGAGCGCTTCATCATCCTCGAAATCGAGTGGATTCCACCTCGACCAGAACGATCAATCCGTGCAGCATCCTGCTGGTAGAGAGCGTGTCTAAGCCTGTTTTGACCGAATGGACCAGTCGTTCCTAAGAGCCACCCATGTGTGGGGCAGCTGGTGGATTCAGAATCCACTACACACTAATCCAGGCCTCCATCGTTCGGTAAATTTTGAACTACAGAACTGTTCGGTAAAAGTTTAAAAATCAGTGAAAAATCCAATTATTTGAAAATTTATTCTGAACATGTACAGAATTTGTTCGGTTTATTCCATTTATTGGTGAAAAATAAAATTTATAAATTTTCTTGATTTCTCACGTGTAACGGTCATTTGAAAATTTTACCGACTTGTTCTGCTGTTCAAAAACCCGGTAAATTCCTACCGACTTCGGTGATCTGAATTAAGTGTGTAAGTCTTACAGTTGGTAAAGGTGTCAGCCAGTTTCTGCATAAGATAGGGAAAATCTCCCCTACATGCTAGTGGTGTTAGTAAGCGTGTGTTAGCTATCAGTTACGCCTAATCGACGATCAAATGCATTGTTTACAAAAGCTGATACGTCCTTTCGAAAAAGTAATCGAGAATTGCCTCGAAAAAAGACCTTGTGCGAAAGTTAGACTCAATCGGACTTGATTTAAGGTGTCGCAAAATCGGCTAAAGTTGACATTTATGAAAATCGAACAATCACCCAAATGACATAAAAATGCTCACGTAACATTTGAAAAGGGCCTATCGTAATTTGCAAACAAAATTTGCTAGGGTCTATACGCACTAACCAAAGAACGCCCACGCAAATCAGCAACATCAGCGGGTAGGGGACATTTCTGGATATTGGAGGAGTTACAGACGGTGGTGATTCCTCAATGTGAAGGAATTTGAACAGGTGAGTAATGAACCGATTCTGATAGTCACCATGGTAATCCATAGTCCTAGTAGAGTCACATGGAGAGATCCGTTATGGTGATTGCCGTGCGAGGCAAACCTGGCCAGACTACGCCCAGTGCAGGCCTGAACTCTGGGAGATAGCAAAGGATAAGTAGGGCTGACTATGGAATGTAGTCTTGTAAAATTGCGGTGGGACGACTGTGCTCCGAATACGTTCACGGGTATTGGTTGAACTATTGGAAAGACTTCCTGAAAACATTGATTGGAATTCCTGGTACGGAAAGTTTGATGGAAATTCCGTTGAACGATGGATGAAATTTCAGAAGATAATTGGAAAAAATCTTTGGGAGATGATGGAAGATTCCAGGGCGAATCAGGGAAAATACCTGGGGGCATTCGTGCAAATCTCGCGGGTGAAAACAAAATATTAATATTTATAATTTGAAATATGTTTTCGGCTTCATAAATCGATTGGCAGGAATTTAAATTCTCGAACACAACTATTGCAAATTATATCTGGTCACAGGAAACATATATTTCCCGATTCCCGCGAATAGGCACCAGCTATTTCCTTATTCCCGGGTAGCCAGAAATGGCTAGGAAATGAAAACACTACTTATGCGGTACCCTTCGGTGTCCGAGAAAGGTAAAAATGATTTTACTCGCAACCCTTTTTTACGTTGGTGCATTCTTCCAACTGTCTATTTCTGTGGTGATGTTAGAAAATGTCTTTAATTGTGCCTACAAACATGTTCTAACTTCGTGGTTTTATTTGAACACCGGAAAAAGGAAAATAAGACCGCGTTAAAAAAGGATTGAGTGTACACCTTAATAACAGGTTTCACGTTCTACCTTGTGAATTATTAACTCCAAGAACCGCAACGAATCTATCGGCACAAACCATTTCCTAACATCGAACATAGATAAAAAAAAATACAATTTGAAACGATTTACCTTAAATTGCCACCTTCCTCACCGGTTCCAGGGAGATCCGGGAACAGAGATATCAAATGCACACAATCAATCATTGTGGCTGCGGCGGTGTAATACTGGCAACCGCAACGACATTTCACTTTTCGGCTTGACCCACGTGTCTCCGAAGGGCTATAATTTGTGACCAGAAATCGTTACACCTTTGAAGTCATACAACGGATAAAGTTAATTGCTGGGATACCAATCCAAGTATGCCACGGTGAAGTTCGCTTGTTGCCAACACACGATCCAATCGACGACACTGTTGTTGACTTTTTCTTTTTGACGCGCCTACTTCGACGCGCTTGGCCTGTCACAATCCTCCCTATTGCAAGCGGAACTAGGGAACGTGTTTCTGTTTTCCGTAATTGCAGTGAACCAGGTAGGACAAATTATTCCGAATCACGAGAACACGGGGATTTGTTTTTTGGCCGGGTGATAAGCAATAGTGTTTTAGTTTGACATATGTTTGTGTTTTTTTTTTTGAAGAACGATTGTTGGATTTGTTAAAACAAAGGATCCCGATCGGTGTCTTTTTAGGGTGGTAAATTAGAGCAGGTGTTAATGCTTCGATTCCGAAAGGTGTGAAGTATGGTCTAATGGGTAATAAATTATAGCTTCTAGGCTGAGATCTACGATTGGCGGTACAACTACGGTACGAACTGGAGGTTCAGAAGGCGTTAATTATCTAGGGCTACAAAGGTCTGCTCATTAGGCTTGTGTTACAAGTCTTATCATACATCAGTCATTATTGAACTACTTCTCGGTAGATAAGATGAATTCATCGAATTTCTCTTCCGTTAATAAGTCAGCTGTAAAAATATTTCCTGTTGTGTTTGACACTTTGGGCGCTGCACTGTACCAAACCACCGTCTTCTGTTCGAATGAAACCTCAGACCATTCAAATTGAAACATCGAAATCGCCTTTTCGAATGATAGCTGCTACCGGATGATGGCTGTTTTGAAATCAGATGATTTTTCTCTCGGATACAGGATGAACAGTGTTATGAAAAGGGATAGGGCTTTCAGTTGGAATGCATAATGCTCTCTGCAGAATGATAGTCATCTTAAATTGAAATGCATTTGGTATTGGTTCAGCCCCTTAACGCAAATCATTCAAAACGATGATGAAAATAATTATATCGAACGTCATATGCTGCACTTAGCAGACAAACGAGGTGGAAGCATAGTCATCGCTATCCCACTTCTGATTGATTCTAACATTGGTAAAGCGTGGATACCGACGAAGAGAATCGATCATACCGTTTACTCCCTTAAGCTGACTTGAACGCAAATTGAACGTGTAAACCATGCCATTCAACTGACTTGATCAACTCACTTGAATTGAAAAAAGTTGAACCAGACTCAACTTTTCAAGCCAATTGAATTTTCACTGAGTTGATCATTTGACTTGCCTAGTCTAAACCCAGCTTTATGCATGCTCACATTTATCTAGAGTTTGCATCTATTCGATCGATGAACAGCTGTCAGCATCGCGTGTTTTTGTTGGTTGAAATTGAAAATGATCGGCTCTGATTGATTTTACACTAATTGGACTTGCTCGTGACGAAAGATCCAACTTGATTTGCACAATCAGCCGAATACCTTGTCGCAGCTGAAAACTGTGTCACGTCTCTGGTAATCTGCCATCTAATCAGCACAGTGACTGACCTACATATCTAGTGTAAAAAAATCGAAATGAGCGCGATCGATCAATAGCGTAGTAATGCATCCGATCGGAAACTGATAAGAATCTTCCCCAGCTGTATGATGAAGTAAAATCTCATCACAAAAGAAACTAAACCGTATATAAGTCGAACATTCGCTTCCGTTTGTCATCAAGTTCTATCTCAATCTCCCAGAACTACACACCTTCAAAAATGGAGCGCCTCATCCTGATCCTCGCCATCAGTCAGACCATTCTGGGCCAAAGTAACGATATACCCTATCGGTTAGGGAAAAGCTTACCAATGGACAAAAACTCACAACTCTTATGGATCCAAGAGCTCGGAGGCGTTCCGATGGACAAACTCAAGGAAACACGTCTCCACCCTGCCGTCAACATCTACGACGACGATTTCATACTGCCAAAAAAGTTCGACGCTCGGCAAAAGTGGCCCCAATGTGCGAGTTTGAACATAATTCGCACACAAGGCTGCTGTGGATCGTGCTGGGCAGTTTCAGCTGCCTCGGTCATGACGGATCGGTGGTGCATCCATTCTAAAGGCAAGGAGCATTTCCATTTTGGAGCGTACGATTTGATCTCCTGCTGCGATGGATGTGGAGCTGGTTGCGGCCCTGGGTTGCCCGGGCCGACCTGGATGTACTGGGTAAAGCGGGGTGTTTCCAGTGGAGGTCCATACAATTCCAATCAGGGCTGTCACTCGTACCCCATGCCAGCTGAATGCCCATCAAATCACGAACGACTGGAGGCCCCGGATTGTTCTGACATGTGTCAACAGGGTTACAACGTTACCGAATCCTGGAAAGATCGTCGCTACGGACGGGTGGCCTATTCTGTGCCAGCTAACGAAGGAAAGATTATGGAAGAAATCTACATCAATGGACCAGTGCAGGCGGTGATGGAGGTGTATGCGGACCTTGTGGATTATACGGATGGAGTGTATCGACACAAGACTGGAGGCCTAAAAAACGGACACGGGGTCAAATTGATCGGATGGGGTGTGGAGGACGGCACCAAGTATTGGCTGGTGGCAAACTCGTGGGGCGTGGATCGGGGTGACGATGGATTTTTCAAGATTGTGCGAGGAGAGAATCATTGCAAGATTGAGGAAAATGTGCATGCGGGGCTGCCAAGCTATTTGGTTCGAGTCTAGGTCTAGAGGAAATAAAGACTTCTTGGTTGGTCAGACCAGGGATGCCAAATTGGAAGACATGTCTTCATTTTAACGACATTCAAGTTCCTGTGCAGACTTTTGAAGATAGGGGCGCGCCTTTAGAGGGTGTTTCAACACTCCGAAGGGTATAAATAGCGGAACCTTTCAACTAGAGTCGGATCCTTGCGATAAATGCAAGAGTGGCAACTATACAAAAAATCGAATACTTCATCAATTCTCAATAGTGTGGATGTTCACTCTCCCCATCCAAATCGCTTGAATTAGGTGCCCTGATGGTCCCTCCTCATCCCGAATTTTTGATATTTAATATAATGATCCGATAATCCCAAGCAAAACGTCCACAAAAATATGCGAGTCGATTGACATCTGCCAAAAATAAATGATGGCTAAGTTGATTCTTAACATAGTTAGAAGCGTAGATGCATAGTTGAAGGATAAGAGAAAGGAGAGTCAAAGGTGTTGACATGCAGAATTAGAAGTCATCGAGATGGAATGCGCATGATTAGATATCGTTGATCCAGTTTCCTATCAAATAAATTTACAAATTATTTTACAAATAAATCGGTTGATGGTATGAAGAACGATTGTTCTACGACTCGGATTATTGCATTCGTAAAAGTGTGGTTTTGAAATGTGATAGAACAGTTTTCATAAACGATCAGATATGAGCCCTGTAGGAGTCTGTTTGTGGCTTCGCATGTGTTGCGTAATGTACGGTTTACGTTGTTCAAAAGTACTGTAGTGGTTCCCATCTCAATGGCTGGAATGTGATTGAAGACAGCTTCGTATGAACAGTTGCTAGGGGATCCCATTATGACGTTGCTGATGTATAAATCGTTTTTTTAGTTCAGACGTTTTACAAATGTTCCACTTTGCCAATTTTGCATAAGATTTTGTTAAAAGGTACAGGTTTGACTCGCTTTTGAAGAATAATCTACCAAGTATTATGATACGCTCTGCTTGGTGTTGAGATGTGGTTTTGCTTAAGTTGGGGATGTCTACGATGTACAAGATAACTTCTCCATGTGTGTCGACCGATGCCAGGTTGTTTTTACAGTTTCGATTCTATGTGCAAGTATGGGGTTTGAATTATTTTTTCCATTTACAATTTCTTCCAGATAGGACACAGTGGTTTGAATAGATTGACGGTGTGTATAATTTTTGTGTAACCATCTAATATTTTCCGTCTCTTAATTTTACAAATGCTATAGGATTTTTATTAGGGTTGTGGATCTGGAGGGATGCAAGGATGGGTGGTATGCTGAAATGGAAATCATAGCGGGGGCATTAGAGGAAGGATGCAGGGTTCGCCGGAACTTATATAGATTTTCATTTTTTTCGTTTCTCACTAATATTCTTTGTTTAGTTTGAACAAAATATTTTTTGAAAATAGGTTTGTGTTGCTTTTGAAAATTTTGTCTTTTAAGAAAATCTCCTGTCTTGTTTCTTACTCTGGTGGTTCTAGTCGATTTTTGATATGAGTGTTTTTTTTTCATTTAATTTAACAATTACTTCATCGTACTTTTTGTCTCTGATTTCTTTGAGTTTTTCGATATTTGATTTGCCAAAAAGCCAAATTTTTTAGGTGTTTTTGGTAGTGGAATGGATTGTATCGTTATATTTGCTCACGGAAATTGCCATCAATCTTTTGTAGGGATAGGATGGGTTTCACGACTCGCGCGATTTAGGTGACTGTGACATTGGATGTATGTAATGCACGAGAGATAAATACAATTAAAATAAACTTTATTTTGTAAAATACAAATTATGCTTCGTGTCTAAAACACACTGTTTCACTTCTCTTCTAAAAACTGCCGATGACGTTTCTCGCTGTTCGGTAGCATCGACTGGAGACAGGGTGGTCTGCCAACAGTGAGCTCAGCTGGTCGATGGATTCTGTTTCGTGTACTAGGGATGTCCATGGGTTCCAACATCTCCCCTCTTTAATATAGAAGGTAGGGATCGAACCACTGAGGCTGCCTTCGAATCCTCGAAGAGCGACGTGGTAGCTGTACCGCTGGGCTGCGCTCGGAAGCGCTCTGGAACTCCGACGACGTTATCTTGGAGCTGGTGGCACCGGACGAAGACGTGGTTGATGCCAACGTAGTTGTAGACGTTTCCGAACGATCGGCTGACGGTGGTGAGACCGATACACGTTCTTGTCGTCTTGATTCATGGGTAGGATGTACCAATCGTGTTGACTGCGTTGATGGTACACCAAGCAAAGACTTGTTCTGCGATGTCGAAGGTTCCAAAAGTGTCGGACTAACATATGGCGATGTTGGACTTTCGGGAAGCTGAAGGTTCCATTCTCTCAAAAGAATATCCAGAGGAAGTTGTTCGCCGACAGGCTTGGCTGGATGCATCGTCAACTGACTAGCGGCATTGGTTGACGTTGATCGGTTTCGTAACTGGTCGATATGTGACCGCAATAGTCGTCGGTCTTCAGCCCAAACATTGTACATGGTGCTTCCGATCCGTTCTAGCACCACAGCAGGAGCCCATCTACAGGTGTTGTTGGAGTGGACCTTGGCGTACACCAGATCTCCTTTACTGAACGATCGTAGTTTGGCTTCTTCATTGTTGGTTGCTTCTGATCGGGCCGCTGGAGGACGCAACAGTTCCAGACATGTCCGAATTGGCCGTCCGAAGATGACTTCCGCTGGCGATTTACCATCGGGAGCTGAGAGATTCGGTGTGGTGTGATAGGTTAGCAGAAAGGTATCGAGAGCTACCTGGAGGTCTCCTCTCCCCTCTCGTGTTTTAGGGCGCCGTGGTGATGTGGTCGATAGCGTTGTCAAGGCAAAAGCTGCTGAACTCGGCGCTCGTGAACTGCACGCCGTTGTCGCTAACCAGAGTGGTGGGCATTCCGAAACGTGCGAAAATACTCCGAAGAATGACAATCGTGGCTGATGAGGTGATGCTTTTGGTTCTCACGATTTCGATCCACTTCGAGAAGGAATTGACGACTAGTAGAAAATGATCACCTTCGCGTGGCCCAGCGTAATCAATGTGTACGCGTTGCCACGGTTGAGTTGACTTTGGCCACGGTTTTGATGGAGCTTTCGGAGGACTTTTCGCGACGGATGCGCACTGACGGCAAGTCTTGACGAATGCTGCGATGTCGGCGTCGATTGAAGGCCAGTAAACGTAGCTACGAGCTATTGCCTTCATGCGTTGGAATCCGGGTTGACCTCGATGCAGTTGGTGGAGGGAGCGGTCCCGAAATTGAGCCGGAATAGCAAGACGTTCTGCGAACATCACGCAGCCTTGGACAACCGACAACGAGTCTTGACGGTCGTAGAACTTCTGGACTTCTTGATCGGTGATGGCTGACCTGGACTTCGGCCAGCCCTGCTGCCCGAACCGGTAGACCTTGCTAAGTACTGGATCAGTCTGGGTGGCTTGCTGTACTGTCCTAAAACTGAGAGGAACGAACTTGATAGAGGTGGATGCTACTGACCTCAAGTCCTCCTCGAGGATGACACTGGCTACTACGAAATCTTCATCAGGTCTTGCATGGTGGGCGATGAGTCGGGAAAGAACGTCCGCGTTCCCGAACTTCTCTGTGTTGACGTACTTGATCTTGAAGTCATAGAGCAGTAGCTGCAATGCCCACCGCTGCAGACGGTTTGCCGTGTAGACGGAGATTCCCGTTTTTGACCCAAAGATACGGAGAAGGGGAGCGTGATCCGTTTGAAGGAGAAAACTGCCACCGTACAACATCCTGTGGAACTTGGTAACTGCATACACGATCGCTAGGCCTTCACTATCTGGTTGACCGTACCCTTGCTCTGCCGGTGTTGGTGCACGAGAAGCGTGCTGCACGACTTTGACGGATCCATCAGGCATCTTGTGGCTCAACGTAGCTCCAACTCCCACTGAAGACGCATCAGCCGAAACAATGATCGGCAGCTCTGGATTGTAGTGCGTCAACAAGAGATCAGATGACAAAAGCTGCTTGAATTTGTCGAAAGATTTTTGGCATTCCGACGACCACTCAAAATTCTTGCCGGCCTTCAACAATTCATCGAGCGGATATCGCAAAGTCCGCATTCCTGAGACGAATTTACCGTAACAGTTAATTACCTCAAGGAACGAGCGAACACCGGACACATCCGTAGGAGCTGGCAATTATAGATAGAGCTGGTATTAGGGCGTAACAGCTTTTGTAAACAATGACTTCTCTCGATGATTTCTAGGAATTCAAGGCATGCTCACGCAAACCAACATATCCATCAGATAGGGGAAGTCTTCTTCTATCCGATGGTGATGTTGATTTGCGTGGACAAGCCTTGACTTTCTAGAAATCATCGACAGAAGTCATTGTTTACAAAAGCTGCTACGTCCTAATTCCAGCTCTATCTAGAATTCCCGGATGGCTTGGATTTTAACTGGATCCGGTCGCAATCCTCGTCCGTCGATGAGTTGCCCAAGGTACTTTATTTGTCGCTGCCCAAAAGAACACTTCTCCGTCTTGATGGTGAAGCCATATTCTTGGATGCGCTGAAAAACTGCTTGCAGGTTTCGTTGGTGATCCGCTTCATCCACTCCTCTTACAATCACGTCATCGATGTAACCTGAGGTATGCTTGAGTCCGATCAGTATGGAGTCCACCAGTTGTTGAAACGCTCCAGGTACTGCTTTCACTTCTGGCGGCAATCGGTTGTAGCGATACAAGCCTCGATGCGTGTTTACTGTTAGCAGATCTCTTGAGGCTTCATCCACTTCGACTTGCAGGTAGGCGTCTGACAGGTCGATTTGGCAGCTTTGCAAAGATGTTCTGTGAGAGAGAGGAAGCGGATATTGATGCGGTTGGAGAGCGCCGTTCAGCCCGGTGGAATATTCACCGCAGATTCGTATGGCACCGCTCGCCTTCCGGACCACAACTATCGGTGCAGCCCACTCGGAGTACTCGACTGGTGTGATGATGTTTGCTTGTTCCAGTCGATCCAGCTCTTGATTCACCGTGTCGTACA